GAAGAATACACACCATAATTATCAATTAGTTGTCAACAAAGCACTCTCACAAATATCTCCCATGGTCACAGAACATCATACCTTAATTTCAAATTTCACTTTGCTGTAGCAATTTTAATGCTGTTACTGAACTATTATTTACTCAGACTCTGAGACGTTTCGTGACATCATTCCAAATTTGACATGAAGAATTTTGATGCCTGTGTAATTAAAAAAATAAAATAAACCAATCAAAAGGAATTTTTTCTAGGATTATATAAAATAAGATAGATCAAGATACCTGCCTCTCTTCTGACTGTGTTGCCCTAATTATAGCTAAAACATCATTTATATGTAAGAATCTCATATGAAGGGCTGAAAAGTTGCACATATCTAAAAAGAATGCTTACGAATTTAAGAATTAGTATTAATTAAGAATTTAAGAATTAAATACTGTATGTTCTGTATAGTTTTACTTTTGCATCTCTTCATTTGGACAGTTAAATTAAAATCTTTGATTTAAATTCTGGTAAAAAGAATACTTGCTTTCAGAGTCTCTGCCCTGAGAATAACTACTTCCTTTTCAGTATTAATAAACAATTTTGACAATGTTAATCTTTTTGGTATTAAAATGCAGAAATAAATATATATTGACCATATTCCAAAATATGAATTCACTAAAAGGGCTCCTATTTAATCACTGGGGTCATTTAACTTGCTGTAACATAAAGAGGGGAAAGGCCTCTTAGCAATTTTTCACTCACCTCCTAAAAACCCTGTAAGTCCCAAAAATAAGCATGACCTGATTTTTCTGAGCTTGAGAAGAAAAATAACAATAAAACCAACAATTCTTATTAAAGATTTTGAATGACAGCTATTTAACATCTTTATATTTCATTCAAATACTGCAATACCTATTCTAATAAAAAAAAAAGCAAACACCCTAAGCCTTGTTTTAGAAGACAAGACGAAGACATTCAGAACCTATAAGAACTTATATTCTATATATGGCTTTACAGTTCAAATCTCTGAATAAATAAAAATATTCATTTAACCCTCCCAGTATCCTTCTGCCACTCAGCTTAAACATTATGAGGAGTAACCTTTTCAAGCCAGCAACATTCAACTGAAAACAAAATATAGGAAAACAAAAATGAAGCATTTGAGAAACTGAACCAGTTTTAGATTTCAAGGTCCTCAGGTGTTTCTGAATATATCAAAATGCTTTCTGATACACACAACTAATTCTATATGGTCTACACGAGAAATATCAAAATATACTCTTTTAAGAGGAAGAAAATACTTTGGTAACAGTAACATTATCCTAATATGTTCAGAAACACACATTTCTCCATCAGACAAATCAGAACTCGGTCTAAGGACTGAAGTAAGCCTGCATGTGTTAGATATATATCTAAAATCAAACTCCAAACAGAAAGGTACGCTACACAAAAAACTCTGACGGAATCTGGTGAGACTACTCTCATCAATCAAATTATCCACATGTGGAAGTAGTCAGAGAACCAAAATCTATCTGGGAAATTTTGTCTTCATTGCTGCATTAAATTGTCTTTCTCTTAGGGTTGTAAAATAATATTGAGTTTTAATGATTAAATGAACACTTGTGAGGCCTTACACACAGAGCCGGAGATAAGGGTACCTAAGTATAAGACAAATATAAAAGAAAACAGTTTCACTATGTAACTGTAAATTGAAATTACATAGTATTCATCAGGCCAAAGCTGGAAATTTTTGTTATTTCACCATAGATGATTATATAAAGCAGGTAGTAATTCTCAAACATTTAAACAGAGTGTGAGGTAAAATAAATACTTATTTTGACATGAAAAAAAATCAATCTGAGTCATTTGGATAATTTTTCATAAGATAAATAGTATGAAGACAAATTGATGAGACTTTTTTTTTCTCCACAATTAAAGCTCTGATCCTAATCAAATCTAACAAAACTTTTTAGTAATCCAACAACTCCTAAGAAATATTTAATTACAGACAGCATTCAGTATATAAAATATACTGAAAATTATAGAATACATTCATTGTATAAAATTATGTATGGATGAAAAAATATTAACCATCATAAATACATTCAATTACATTTCTAAAAAAATTGGTGAATTTAGAACCATTATCTTAACCACTTTTTGTATTTATAGAAAAAATTTTCTCAAAAGAGTAGCAACTTCTTATTCTTTAGGAAAAAGTATTCTTAAGGAAGAATTAACATACAAGTAAGTACAATATGCATCAGTAGATTTCTACAATTTAAAACTTATTAAGTAATATATTGCACAATAAACCTTACAGAACCTACTGTTCAACATATTATAGTATGTTGCCACTTATTTGTTGGTAGCTATTACCAGTCATGCCAAAAAGGAAAAAAACAAACATTTCAAACCTGATCAAAAATTGTCAATAATGAGTTAATTTTACCATTTAAATTACTATGATGAAAAGCTTCATTATATAAGCATTGCCTAATTATAAGACAGTTCCTCTTTTTAAGACAAGGTGCATTTTAAAAAATTATTCACAAAAACCCATGAAATTTTTAACTGTCTGGTGCTCCAGAATCACCTACATGTCTATGTGAGTAGGTATTTGTGTTACAAGTTTACATGAATGATGCTATAGATAGAACTTTTTAAAAAATCCCTACCTAAAACATAATTTCCTTTGACATTGATGAGGATTTTACTTAAAGTTTTACACCAGCTATCAGAGCTACAAAACCAAACACACCTCTTCACTGCCTCACAGTGTAAGAATGGAGAAAGAAGGAGGGGAGAAATGTACACCATGTGATTCTGCTCAGAAAATCATCAACTATCTAAAAGACTATCATATTTTTCTTTAACAGAAATAAACGCATTGAAGAACAATAGCTTAGACCCCTGCTCTGTACTCAAAATAAAATAAAAAGCAGCCTTCAAAGCAAAGACAGGCAGTATGATTCCGTAATGTGTAGGAAAAAAAGAATGACAAGGAAACAGAAAATTAAAACAGAAAATGTGTAACTGTTAACTCCATTTCAAAGAGTTAGAATGTTTTTAAACATTAATGTTATAAACTTTAGGAACCCATCAATATGTAGTGTTTTTAAATCATTTCCACGACTAGTATTGACTACATTGCATGCTATGTTTGGATGGAATAAACAAAAATATCCACCCTTAAAAGACAAGCATAATTTAATCACTGAAAAAATAAAACAACCTTAAGAAACAGCCAAAGCTATAATCGATAGTCATGTTATTGCCATTTGAGATTTGAAACACCTTTGTAGCAGGGATTTTCCTTATGCATGGTAGGCTAATAAACAGTATCTAACAGGAAGAGAAAAAAACATAAAAGTGTAAAGACATTCCATACTTTCAAAAACCAAAATCAATTGTAGGATTTTCATTCACTTCAAAAACATCAAATACATTGATTAGCCAATTTTTCCTTTGATGCACTTTTCATCATAACTAAAGGAAGATATTTAAGAATAAATGATTCAGCAGAATATTAATTCTTTGAAAGTATGTGGTTCAAGTTCTTTGATGTCAATGTAAGCATTTCTTATAAATTTGCAAACAGAAAAGTGGACATATTCTTGAATTTTGAGCTTAATGTGAAGCATATTGTAACCTACATTTTTGGGTTTGCTATAAATTACCCAATAACCACCTAACTGAATGTGCAGTACCATATGTATCTACACGTAAACTCATGCAAACACATCATTACATCACTTATAAAGACTTGTATGACTGACTTAAAAAAATTATGTCAAAACTATTTTTAATTGGATTATTAATAAATTTTAGACAAAATTAATGATATATTCGATTCAACTTAGCAAACTGCGAGCCTGAAAATGCTTTTAAAATGCTTAATTTTCCACATTTAAAAAAAATTACAAGTGTAAAATTGTATTGTGGCTGAAGAGTACCAATGTTGTGAACAACATTGCTTTAATTTTTAGCAGAAAACTGCCATTGGGACTACCAGTTTTATTACAGCTGAAACTAAAAACCTGGTCATTTCACCTAAGTTCAACATTTTGAAAGAGAACAAATCTTTGTCATGTAGTAATTACTGCATAATTAAACGCAGTTATGAATTCAGTAATTTAAAACTAAATTCAGATATCTGATAGTGAGACCTTTGTAAGAACTGCTGTCATACTCATAAATACATTTGGTATGTGTCTATTTATGCATTTGACTGGACAAAATAATTGCTATGGTAATGAAGTTACAGCAAGGTCAAGTTCAGGCCAGTTTTGTCATGTGATGGTACATGAAATGTAAAAGGTAGAGGCTTAAAATACAGGAACATTAATGCATATTCAATGCATATTCAGCTAGTTGCAAACTGTATTTGAGCTGAACTTTTGCTCCTAGCAACTCCAACCCCAAATTTATATTACTATACTAGAAAAGCTGAAATATTGAAGGACTAGACTGACTTTTTGGTGACTACGTGGATATCTTTTATAAGCTACATATGCTATACGAAGAACTTTCGTTTCATTACAAACCTAAACGCTTTCAAAACTCACATGGAAATATTCTTACATCACACTAAAAACAATGTTAATTAAAGAAACATAGATACCTATAAGTGTATGCATACATATATATTTGTATACTTATATATATGTACACATACACTTCCATACATATACACACAGAAATATATATTTCTTTTTTTAAAATACAGATGGTAAAAAATACAGATGGTTAAAATAATAATCTACTTGGTAATTAAACACTGTTTTCAGAAATTCAAAAACTGTACCAGATTGTCACCTCCCAAGTTTTATTTTAAGAATCTAATTTAGTACTTTTACTCTAAGCATTTCTGAATAAAGTTGATATGATGTCTCTGACAAAAGCAATCTCATTGTTTGACCCTCTCCTCAAATGTAAACTTTTTGCCACAGTATTGGTACAAAATAACCAGAAGGCTTCAATAATCTAACGCTCACATAATCAGATATACTGTTCAAATCATGAGAAGAAAATGTTTTATTACATGAAATACTGAACTAGACAAATATTATTTCAACTTTTTATCTTATCCCACTCTAGACCTTTTTGGAAGGTCATCCAGAACCATGTCATGATATACAATAGTAATCATGTATCCAACCAGAAAAAATCATTTATGTTTGACATGGTCTATAGTTTACTGCAAAATTTAAAAATACTGTAAATATAAGCCTGCAAAATCGCAGTAAAAGTAGTTACATCTTCCATGGCAAAAACACCACAAAGGTTATAATTTTTATTAATAGGTATTTAATCTAATTCAAGGTTTTAGGACCAAGTCCACAGAATTAAATAGAGGTATGCTGTCGGTTCATAAAGTCCATCATTCTGAAGAACCACATCTATACATGTGGATTATATGGACTTCCCATATAATCAGGACAATGCGGGTCCAAGTATAAATTTTGCAGTGTTATATTACAGCAATGTTCAGTTAATATGTCAGCAGATTGGAAATAGATGTGATTCATTTTTTAAGTACATAGAACTACAAATGTTTACCATTACTGTATTCGAATTTTTCACTTTACAAAAGAGAAATACTAAGAAAATGGCTTATTTCAATGACAAAAAGCCAAACTTGCAAGAGCAAGGCAAATGTTTTGTAACTTCCTTAAGTCAATGGAATCCAGTTTTGTACTTACACAACAAGAAGCAAAATGTGGCCCATTAGCTGTAAGTTAAATAGTTAATTTGATAGCCATTTAATTACAAACTTCATTACACTTTGCTTCTTTGATATTCAATTAACTGCCTCTTGTTCCTAGTACCTAAATGTGCCTCTTTTTTTGTGTCCTAACTGTTCTGTTCAGTGTTTTAAGAATAAACAATTATTCTAAAGCATAACTGTGCTTAGCATTTCTGGAGCATCATCATACTGCTAGCTACTCTGAAATGTAGCTAAATAATGAACAGGGGAAAAAAAACTATTGTAAAAACTTGTGATATTAGGATAGCATTTACAGACAGATGGATAATCACAAATCTGTAAGGCAGTATTGATGAACTTTAAGGAGAGCTATGTGTCCTTATTTCATCAGAGCACATTGCAAAGCGTCTTAGAAAGGTTGGGAAAAACAAATAATATGGCTGCCCCATTCAGAGGGCTGCTATCCTGCTGTCTTCTCTCACAGAAACACCTCACTCATCAACTCCTCCATCCTCTTGTCACTACTTAGCTTCAGGTCCTACATTTTCCAGAGTTAAGTAGATGCTGCAGAGAGGAGGTACAAGTTCCCTACAATGAAATAATCAATAGAAATGTGAAGACTGTTTGAAGGTTGACAGCTATGGAATTGTGTCTGCCATTCACTCTCCCTTCTCTCCCCATTCTTCTTGTTTAATGCCAGTACCATCAGTAGTGTTCTCAGTTCTGCATAAGACAGCAAAAGATTTCCGCCTCCTTCTCTGGTTTGGAGACGCTGCATTTCAGTATGCCAGTCTTTAATCAAATGAAAGGCTATTCAGATTCCCTGGAGACACTGAGCAATATAAAGAACCTGCCCTCTAAAAACGAAGGAGCTCTTGTTTACCCTGTCCTTCAGGATATAGTGCTTTAATGGACTCTGCCCCCTGAGAGGGAACCATATGCATTAAACAGACTCTCAAGTTTCTGTAAGAAACAACATGCTGGTCAGACATTTTAGCTCCAGCTAAACAGAGGTCTAAAGAACCTACAGAACCAGGATCTTGCCTTCATATTTTCAATCAACTACAATTAGCTATTCCTGCCTTTCCAGATATATTTTCTAAAATGTGTTTACTATGGGTCATAAGCTCACTTTTATGATATTTTACCATTTTTGTATTACTTTAATAATTAACTTATTATGTGAAAAAGGTACCACTGTATCTGTTTCCTAAAAAGAATACTCTTAAGATATAAACTTCATAAAAAACCAAAACACAGGAAAACATTCAGAAACTAAATACTGCAGTATAAAGAATCAATTGAACATGTTTTCACAACCTTAACTGACCATTAAAATAGTGGATGGTAAATATAAAAAAAAAATGTAAAAATTTGGGTTTTAGAACTATAGAAGTGTAAGATGCATTTATATCAGACTTTTAATCTGGTGTTTCAAGCAGTGCATAAGAATGTCTAGGAATTACAGAGTATATCTTCTGGGATTAAGTTGAAGAAAAGGGGAGGGGAGGGAAGGGGGAAGAAGAAGAAGAAGGGGAAGGGGAGGGAAAGGGAAGGGAAAGGAAAAGGAAAGGAAAAAGTTCTCACTCCTAAACTCACTATTTGTATTTAAGACATTGAATTGGCTTGATATGGGAAAAAAAGGTAAAAAATATTTCTTTTACCTAATAAATATATATGTTTTATATTATCACAATTTATGTTTTGTTTCCAGTAATTACACTGAGAAATCAGGATTCTCTTCTACCTTTTTTTGTTCTTTTACCACAGAATTGCATGTACTTTTGAAATAAAATGTGAAGCCATATGAGTGATTCAGCATGCATGCTCAACATTACTTGTCAAAGGACAAAAAATAAAGAAAAAAGCGGAAAAGTCACTCTAATTACCAATCTAAACCAGTCTGATAACCAACCTAAAATAATATACTGAATTCTCAAAATAGTGTGGATTTTTTTGTCTTGCAGTATTACCCCTTTGGTCAGCACTAACTGAGCAGATCATCATGTAGACGGTTTCACTGATCTTGCTAACAAAACAAAGACCGTATTCTTACAGAAACATTTTTTCTTCAAACAAATTATCCTATTTTCAAATCAGAGGCATATCTACCTTTGTCTATGTCTATTCCCTTCCTATTTCTTATGTCTACTTCTTTCAATAATTATCCAAATAGGATATATCATTGTAGCCAGTGTGTGGGAATTTCTACTTCCATTGAAGTCCTCATTCACAAATAGCCCTTTCAGATATGCTTCAGGATGTTAACAGACTAAAGAATATTATTTTTCACTCTGTATCCTTTTTTAAGGATTTATCTTCAGGAATGCACTTTCTGTAGGTAACTGATGTAATTTAATTTTTTTCTCCATTAACGGAAGCAACAATTTTTTTTTTCTACTGAAGATAGGAAGCTGAAAAAATTTAAATTAATTGTTCTGATTGCAATGTAGATGATTAGAAAAATTCTTCATTACCAGTTATTAAATGCATGTGGAACACATGGAAGCAGCAGTAATATCAACCTCAGAAAAGGCAACATCAGAATGTAAGCATAAACAGAATGCCAAGGCATTTCTGTCAACTATTACAAATCAAGTAATTCCTGCTCATTTACTCATTTGTGGATGCTGCCTCTTTGTGGCAGCATGCCATGCAAAATGTACCTTTCACATTAAGGACCTAATCCTATGTTTGTATTGACACCTATGCAAACTTATGTTTATGAGTTTAGAATCATACAGAAAACATATATATGCACATGAACAGACAAAGTTTGCAGGAACTTATTCAATCCTTACTGAGTTAATTTCTCTCTGACAAAGTCAGCAAGGCTGAAAATTTTCTTGCTTAATACCCATTTAACAACAGTGTGCCTCTACTGAGTTTAAATGGGAGAACCAGACCACTGGTTTCAGCAATAGTTATAAAGGCAGTAATTCAAAATTAGGGCTCCAAAACTGCACCTCAGGCAGGAACACACACATCTCTCACTAGTGTTAATAGGGAAGTCTGCAGGAGACGGCGAGCAGTGAACAGAATAGCCATGTGTTGTGTCTCTTGTGACAAAAGAACACTCCTCATCTCTGTGTTTCAAACTGAAATAACACTCCACGTACTAAACTGTCCAAACTAAATACAGTCATGCTTGCTGGTTGGTTTTTCTTCTTTTTTTTTTTTTTTTGCTTTTGCTCAATGTGGGTGGCATAGAGAGAACACATGCCAAGAAAACATTTATCTTGAATTCCAACAGACCAGTTATATAGCTTTGTTTTTGTAGAAAGTGACAGATTGTACATGGGTAAGAAAAGCAGAATTGAACAGAGCCCTTTTGCAATAAAAGATTTACTAGGGAACAACTCTGCAAACAATATAATATATAATAACCTAATGAAGGGAAAAAACCCACGTGAAATATGACTTACCCTATTCCACATATTAAAGAACACTTCAATAAGGAGACAAAATGTAAATATAAAGCTATCCTATTCAATATGTTGTTGAATCACATGTCCCTATGTTGCTTTCTGACCCATGTTATGTACGCCGGTAATTACCACGCCATATTTTGAAAACAGAGAACACATTATGTTTTACCTAGAAACATTAAATCTTTTTGATGAGCCACAATTGCTAGTAAAGAGAATCCAATGTAAAACCAGATTATTTTGGCAAGAAATTTTAAAGTTCAAATACTCATTACTTCAGGATCTTACATTTGAAATATTTACCAAGTGTTTATTCAGAAACTATTAAAAAATCACATGTGCTGGGATACATATCAGTTGTCCCCTCTTACAGTGATGCTGTGTTTATGAATATCCTTGCCATTGCTTGCTGCCCAAAGGGGAAAGACATTTTATATAGACGTGTACAGTCCACCATTTGGTCTTTCAGGATGCCAGTAAACATGTGGATCTGTACAAGTGCAATTGTACTTGACTAAACAATCAGAAACTGGCTACAACAGTTGCAAAATCATTATATTTTGGTTAACTAATACAAAAGCAAAAATGAAAAAAGAATTGAAACTGACAAATCAGAAATGAAACACTTTTTTTTTCCTGATAAAATGAATGCCTTCTACATATCCCTCACTAGTTTGCCCAACCAGACTCCTAAGCAGGAGCTTGCTAAAAGGTATATTCTCAAATAGAAATGTGATTTTTTTCTATTGTGATCGGATTTCACATCTTAGATTGTCTGTTAAGATTTGGTCATAACTGGTATTATATCTAATGATTTAAAAGGTCCTTTTGATTCTACATCATATTTGGAAAAAAGCTCTCAGTGTAGTGCAATACTTTAAAGGAATACAGAGACTTTGGACCTCGTCCTGAATTTAAAACAAACAAACAAACAAAAACACTGAAACATTCCAGTAGTTTTACTTGTAAGAATAGTTCTGCCTCCTCTATCCTAATTTTTTCAGCTTTTGACTAACTTTGCTCAATGAGTGAGTCTAGAAAACTACACTCATTGGTAAAGTAGTTCATGTGCTTAAGTGCCTGCAGGATGAAGGCCTAAGCTGGGACTTCTTTCACAAGTAGAGACACTGAAGTGAGTTAAGAATTTGTAGGATTAGGCCCTAAAATAGTGAAGGAAAGAGAAATGCTAATGTGCATATAAAAATAGGTGCTACAATAAAATATTTTTTTATATTTCATCAATAAATTATTTTCACTAACCAGTTATGGATCATATATCTCTGCACTCTTTAATGATTTGTCCACATCTACAGCGATCCTTTTAAAGATCATAATTATTTTTGAATTCAAAAGTCCAGAAAGTATACAAACACATCCTTAAAAAAAGGAAACCTTGTATTAAAGTCGAGGTGTGCTAATCTCTCCAAAAAAGCCATTTAGACTCACTCATGGCTAAAAGGGGAAAATGTGCGCTGTACTCTTCAACCAGAAAGAAACCCAATGTGTTAAAAAAAAATAAAAATAATAATAAAAAAATAGTAATAGTGACTTTTGTACTTGTGACCTGAACATGACCTGACAGGAACCTCCTGCCACCTTCCCCAAGCACACATGGACACCCGCACAACACCAGTGTTGTGCCCATTTTACAAAGCAGGTGGTTTCTGACTTCCAAATACAGTAAAAGAAAAAAGAACAAACTAAACTGAACAGCACACCCTTTCAGAATCATTCCCCGAAGCTGAAAAGTCCTGTGCCAAGGCACTTCACCCTACAATAAAATGCATTAAAGGGGGAAAAAAGAAGGGGGGCGAGGTGGGAGGTCAGCATTTACGTTTCTTTGTTTTGCGTGTGGTTGTTAAATACAAATACTCTAGAGAAGGAGCTGCTGAGACTGCCGAGGGGACGGGGAGGGAGGCTGTTTCTCAGAACTGGCTGAATGTGGTCTGTTTTTCCAGCACTTCGAGGTAGTCCGGCTCTGCGTTTAGTTTTGCTTTTAGCTCCAGGTACTCGTTCCTGTTGGGCTCTACATAGACAGTACTCGGGGGGCTGTAGAGCACCGTCTCCCGGAGCCTACTGTCCCCCGGCCCCGGGTGCAAGTACTGGTGGGCACGCCTAAGGTCATAATTAGGGGAGTAGGTGTAGGCGGCAGGGAGCTTGGGGTAGTCGGGGAGGGTGGAGCCGGGAGTGCCCAGCGTGGAGGAGGAGTGTTTGTCGGGTTCCAAAATGCCCCTGTAAAAGCGATCGGCGTCTTGCACTGGGGAGAGCAGCTCCTCCCGCGGCTCGATGGTGCTCACGCTGTACGCGGGGCTGCGCCCGGGCGCGTCCTCCCCGCCGGGCGCCGGCGGCGGAGGGGGCGGTGGGGGCGGCGGCGCGCCCCCCCCGGGCGACAGGGGGTGGCTGCTGTAGGTGACCTTGAGCTCGTGAAGGTCTTTGTAATCCTCGCCCGAATTGCCCTCCCGGGAGCGGTAGATGGGGTTTTTGCACATGTGGCCCAGGGGGTGCGGGATGTACTCGTAGACGTGGCCGGCGGGGGTCTTCACCTTGGGCAGCGCCGCGCCCCCGCCACCGCCGCCCCCGCCGCCGCGGTGGGGCGGGTGCTGCTGCAGGTGGGGGTGGTGATGGTGGTGGTGGCCGCCGCTGTAGACGCTGTACTGCATGTTGAAGGAGCTCACGTCGGAGTTGTTGGCGCTGGCGTGGTCACCCTGGCCCTTCTTGCGCCGCTTCATCACCAGGACGAAGAGCCCGGCCGCCACGAAGACGGACATGATGAAGACCAGCAGCAGGCTGAGGATCAGCACCGAGAGCGGCACAGAGGAGGTGCCGCCGCCGGCGCCGCCCGCGGGCGCGGAGCCGCCCGCCGCCGCCGTGCCATTGAGGCGCACGGTGGAGGAGGAGGGGGTGGTCCTGGCCGGCAGCTGGCCCGGGGACGGCGTGGGCGTGGAGACGACGATATCCGAGTAGTCGGGGCACAGCAGCTCCGCCCGGACGGCCCGCATGTCGCTCTGGGCAAACTTCTTAGGGGACTCGCAGATAACCTGGTCCACCAGGACACCGGTGTTGAGCTGCTCCAGCCACAGCTTCATGCCCACCACGTCGCAGGTGCAGTCCCAAGGGTTCTCGTGCAGGTCGATCTGCAGCAGGGATTTCAGCTGGTCCAGCACCCCGCTCACTGGCAGGTAGGAGAAGTGGTTGCTCCGCAGGCTCAGCCTGTAGAGAGACAGACCAGAAAAAATGTTCCCTGGCAAAGACCTCAGCAGATTGTTGTTCAAAAACAAGAGCTGAAGGTTGGGGACAGATTCAAAGGTGCCTGCCTCTATCTCCCGGATGACATTGTACTGCAGGAAGAGGTACTGCAGGCTTTGCAGCCCATAGAACAGCTCTGGGCTCAGCCGCTCGAGCCGGTTCCCATTCAGGTACAGCCTTCGCAAATTAGTTAAATCCCCAAAAGCCCGGTCCTGAATGACCGAGATCCGATTATTGCCCAGATGTAGCAAATCCAGCCCGGTGGCATCCACAAAATCTGCCCTGCGGACCAGTGCAATGTAGTTTTCCGTCAGATACATCTTCTTAGGATTATAGGGTTTGGGCTGCAGTTCAGAAATGCTCTCAATCTTCCTCTCCTGACAATTGACATTTAGGCCCAGGTCAGAAATCTGCAAGTTGCAAGTGCAGGCAGTGGGGCACTCCAAAGGCACCGGGGATTTGGTCTGGTAGGCAATGCTGGGGCCATAGTTGCTGTATCCCAAGTCTTTTGAGGGCAAGCGGGAGGTGGGGCGCACCCTTGGCTTGTTGGGTTGGCGGGTCCCTTTGGGGGGCTTCAAGGGAGATTTGTAAACAGCTGAAGAAGAAGTAGCCACGGAGTTGACCGAGGCTGGGGTTGTGTGGAAATACCCTGTGGTGCTCAGTGGTGTCTGAGGTCTCATTTCATAATCAGAGATGAGCCTCCTGGGGCAAAGCTCCTGCTTGGAGACTTCATCCAAGTCTCGACCATGTAAGCGGAAAGGGGTCTCGCAAACTACATCTCCCACCAGAGCAGAGTATGAGATACTGTCCAGCCAATCCTTTAGAGCAATCAACTCACAAGAGCAATTCCAGGGGTTTTCCTCCAGCTGCAGCTCCACCACTTTATCCATGTGCTGCAAGAGGCCCATATAGGGCAACAGCTTCAGCCGGTTACCCCTCAGGTCCAGGTGAGTTAAGGGCACAAAACGGAAAAGGTTGTTGGGCAAACTGGAGAGGAGGTTATCATTGAGAATCAGCACCTGCAGCAAATGCAGTTTGCTGAAGGCATTGGGTTCAATGATGCTAATATAATTATAGTCGACCTGTAGGTATTCCAAACTCTCTAGCCCAAGGAAAGTGTCATCCCGTAGAAGTTCCAACTTGTTATTGTTCAAGTGCAGCCTCCTTAAACCTCTCAGACCATGAAAGGCCCCAGTTTCAATGTCTTGTATGTCATTGCTCCCCAGATGCAAAATTGAAGCCCCGGTGTAATTGACAAACTGGTTTGGGTACAGCCTGTTCAAAAGGTTCCCAGACAACAAGAGGTGGTAGACAGGGAACCTTGGTGGACTGATCTCAAAAAGGCTGATGATCCCTCTGTTTTCACAGCTCACTGTTAAGATGCTGTCCTTCTCCTCACAAGGACATGCATTATCACAGATTTCCCCATAATACTCGATGCTTTCTGCCCACGAAAGGACTAGCGATGTTAAAGCAAACGCGATCGTCTGCAGCATCCAGATATGCATTTTTTTGTTGAGGTCCTGTTCCAAAGTTACTGTAGAGCAGCAAGCATACATTTTATTTCCTGTAAGGATAAGGAGAAAAAAAGAAAGTACCATAATAGTACAGCCCTGTAAAATTTAAAATGGAAATAAAGTTTATGTATGTCTTCATTAGGGTAGAGAATGGATTGTTAATCAACAAAAAAACCAAACCTCCTGTCACTTCTAATTCCCATACTTTCAAAAACTGGATGACATGCATTGATTAAAGGGTTGATAGGCAACTCCTAGCGAGTCAAATGCCTGCGGTGTTTAAAACGGTGAGGTCACAGTAGGAATTGTTCTGGTTCTGTTTGTGTGGGGTGCATTTCAATGCTTCCTTGGATCTTTTTCATGACCAGCCCCATAAATATACATAAAATGGCTGTCAGTTCAGTTTCACATTTCTAATTTAAGAGAAAAGAAACACCATTTTACGAGGTTTCCCACCTCCTCTATCACCCAGCTCCCCCTTCCCTTCAGAACCTCCCCAGTGAACAGCGCACCAAGGTCTTCCCCTCCTTCTACCTTGATTTTTAACCGTTGGTGGAAATACCATGGTAGGAATCCAAAGAAAAATATTCAGTGCTGAAAACGGCAGCTGAATTCAACAGAGAGAATACTGACACATTCTCCCCATCACACATTTCTTAAAACTCTTTTATGTTGGGTTTTTTACTCCTAGCTATACATTTACAAAGCACACACTCACCCACACAGATATGCACACACACACACACACTCTCTCACCCCCAGATGACTTCTGTGGAGGAATTCTTCTGTAATGAGATTAAATACATTAACCTCCTACTTCAGTGCACTCAACAGCTCTCTTCAATTAGAGAAATTTTGTATCTTTACACAAGCAAATAATTTTAACTGATTTTTGATCCCCCCTCAAGTTATACACAATGTAACAGAGCTCATTTCAAGCAGAAGTCTTCAGTTCTCTCTCACATACACACACACACACACACACACACTCTTAAAAGAAATATTTTAACCACTCACCCAAAATTTGTGAAAAATGTAAAACATGCAGATCATCTTCGGAGTCTCATCCATATCTGACATAACGCTTATTCCCAATGTTCTGCAAAACTAGCCTGGTAGAAGTGGAGAGATCTAAATAGGTCTGGTGAAAATATCTCATTGCCAACACTCCAAGCATCAGAGTTACTGATTATAAGCAGCAATGGCTGTCAGTACTCTTTATCCTTTAGGGGAGAAGACACCCAGGCTGATTAAAAGCCAAGGAGGGTGGAAGGGAAATCCTACCATTGACCTACGTCAGTAATTTAATGCCTGAATTTCACCTAGCTGGAAGGAAATGCTTTCCTTTTCTTTTTGCAGTCTTTCTGACTCCTTGTGGCTTTCTTCTACTAGTCTAAAAGCAATATGAACGGGGAAAATAGATGCATTTTGTGTGTTGGTAAGGGAAGACTAATAAATCATCAGGCTTAAATACTGGGATCTTGGAGGAGGCTTGCATTTTCTAATGTTCACCTCAGAGCTCCAATCCTTATGACACAACTCTGGTTTGGAGGAAGGTATCCTAAAAAATGAGAGGTCTCAGTACTGCAAGACATCTCCTGTGGCATCAGGTTCACGGCTGCAAATCTAGCACTTGCAGCAAAGGCAGTCATGCAGCAAGAAATCGGAAGTCTCGGTGAATCTCTCTCTAATTCTGACCAGACGTCAACTGGATCAGAATTACTCAAAGCAAAAAGGCTTCATTGCATAAAGGCAGCAGAAATGTTACTCAAAGGCATGTATCTAGCATATTCTTTCTCAGTTTGATCAGATCCACTCATCCATTAACCAACAGTTCTTCGTAGAAAAGAAAAAAAAAAAGACAAGCCATTGAAAACCTGCCCGGTCAGTGTTAAACTCCCAGGCATTTTACAACTTTAATTCAATTATTGTTAGAAAAGGAGGCAAATACAATTTTCCTTCCCTCTTCCTTTCTGCCTTTCTCTCACAAAAATTAAAAAAAAGGTGGGGCGGGGTGAGAGGTAAAAAGAATAAAGTTGTAGCTGGCTATATGCAAGGTTGCAATCCCGCCCTGGAAACCCCTCTGTGGTGACTGTGTGCTGCTGTTCGCCAGCTCCCTACAGAGGTTCAGATTGAGAAGGGGGGGGGGGGGGGGGGGGAGAGGAAAAAGAGTGGACCAGGACGGTCGGCCGGTTGCGGGGGGGGGGGGCAGTGGGGGGGGGGGAGCGGCGGGGGGGAGGGGAGAAGAGAAAAGGGGTTGCATCGGGATTTTTCTTGCGTGTGTGGGTTTTTTTCCCCGAAGAGTTCAACCCTTAGCTTACCGCACTGCATATCCGGCTGGAGGCAGCTTTCAGTACCGCCGACAGCAGCAGCGAGCCAGCAGCCCCAGCCGGACACTGCCACCCAACTGAGCAGCACCCCGAGTTGGGAGACATGGATTTAGGGGGGGGGGGGGGGGGGGGGGGGGGGGGAGGGGGGGGGGGAAAGCAACAGGAAGAAAAGACGGGGGGGGGGAGGGGGGGGGGGACGAGGAAGGGAGGAAGAGAAGAGGGAAAAGGGAGCGAGAGAAAAGTCGACCCCGGTACTTACTTCGCCCGAAATCTCCAGGGCCCAAGCATGGTGGCAGCCCATGAAGAAGCCTCCCCGCGGCGCGGCGGCGGTGTCGGTGTCGGTGCGGCGGCGGCCGGGGCGGTGGGTGCGGAGCGGAGCGGAGCGGGCTCCCCCCGCGCGCAGGCGGCGCCGAGACACAGCGCTCGCACAGGGGCGCGCGCACACGCGCGCACACGCGCCACACACACACACACACACTCTCACACACACTCACACTCACACACG